GATGCAGCTACAGTTTTGGCCTGAAGAGAACAAAAGCATCATGAGCCAGCATCTGACCTGTGATTTTGAGATCTCACATAAATTTAAATAATTAAACAGCTGTGTTAATGATCAAAAAAAAAACATACGTTCACATGCGTTTCTTACATAACACAAAGACCACCTCTGCCTTGTTCTACTTTGCCCTGAAGTTTTTTTTTCCCCCACAGCGTCAACAGTTTCTCTGATGAAAACTTTGTTTCCCAAAGGCCAGCGTTCAAGGACCAACTGCTGCTCCAGAGCTCTGAACACTAGCCTTCTAGCATCAGCCGCAACAGGCTTTGGCACATGAGCCCAAGTAAATGAAGCCTCCCAGTTGAGTATAGTTCAGTTTATGTATGGACATTACGATGGTGTACCTCTCAGTAGTATCTGTTCACCAAAAAGAATTGTTTTTCTCTTCATTCTTTGTCCAAAATACAAAAGATCGATGCTTCTTATTTCAGTACTACAGCTGCCTCTTAGCCGCATCTCCTGAAATCAGCTAAAGGGAAATGTTTGGGGAGAAATGAACACTGGACTCATCAGATGCTATACTGAGACTGTTAAGAGCTGAAAAGAATTTTTGATGGCAGTACTGTAATTCAGGCTTGGTGTTTCAAGGCAAACAGGCTTTGCATCTTAAAATTCTGAAATCCTGAGCATTTTAAAGGGAGGAGTAAGAAAATTTGGAAATAATCAGAACTGAATTTGGGTTAGGTATAGGATGAAAGAAAGCCACATACTTCAGCATTCACCTGCCTTTCTAGGATTTAAATATTTGTCTACTATAAAAGCCTTTTGCAGTGGGCTCCCCCAACATCAGCTCCGGAAGATTGAAATATCAATTACAGATCAATTTTCTCCTTAAGTAAACACTAATGCAGGATAAACAGTATTAGAAGATGCAATCGTAACATTGCTGACTCCAGGCTGGACTTCCTGCTGCTCACAGCAAGTTTAAGCCTAGAGATTAATTAACCTGAGAAGATATCACTTAAGGAAGATTTAAGGCTCTCGTGTTGGGAATGTGAGTGAATGAGAAGTCACGCATGCTAACAGGAAGGCAACAGAGCCCTAGAAAGGCATAACACGCTTTGATTCTCCCATGGTTATCTTTGGTTTTCCTCAGCACCGACTGCGTGCGGCTTTACAGATTAGGTTTGTGAGACTGGGTGAATTTTCCTTTTATGGCTAAATGGTTGTAAAGCCACAGGCTGCCAACGCAATTCCCAGTCATGACTGAAATAACTGTGCAACTGAGTGCTGGTACACCTGTGACGTCACCTCCGTGCAGGCACTTACTGCTAAGAAATCCCCAGTGTTTCAGGTGTTATTTGTGTCACTCATTACAGACTGTTCTCTTGCTTTTACTCCTCAGTACTTTTATTTATCTTGCTATTCTAAAGGAATACCTGCAATTTTTAAAATAGTGCACTGAGGCTTTGGAAGCATTAAGGGAGGCCTGGTGAGCTGAAGCAAGGCCAGAAATCCATTTCATACTCTACATGCAGCTTGTATCATTCCATGTGGATCACGCAGCAGGAGGCATAGCACACTTTTTCAACCTCAGATGACATTTAAAGTTGCAGGTTCCCCATCCCCTAGCACTGCACAGCAGATAAGATGAATTATGGCTAATTTGACAGCCTGGGAAACCTGCAGTGGACTTCCTTGTGGAAGACACCCCTCTCTGTGCCCTGCTTCCTCCTTGGCATTGGATATAAAAGCAGCAGCGCTTCCCAGGTGTTGTTTGTGAGGATTATTGTAAGGAAAGAAACCTCTTATAACAGAGGTTTGGTTTCAATTCCTGTAATTCTCATAGAAAGGAAATAGGCTTTGAGGTGGAGGTGGCAAAAGGCTGATACTGAACCACAAGGTGAGAGGTGTATGACAAGGGAATGATGTCATTTGTAGACCTGCATAACTAGAACTACTTAATGTTGATGATAAAATCTCACCTTAAGGTTGATGATAAAAAGCATCTTTCAAACTGTTCAAGGGCATCACAATCATTCAACTGGTAATAAAAGGCAATTGCAAGAACCACTAAAAGGGTGAGACTTAGAAAAGAGCATATCCAGGCGAACTATAGGGAAAATATAGGCAGGGTTAGAATTTGGCCAGCACCACAGGTTAATCTGGCTCAGAAGACTTAGTTGGAGAGAGATTTACATAACAGTGCTCACATTTCCCGGTTTGTTCTGTTTCCCATTTTCCATACTATGGATATTTTTGCAACTAAAATTGACAAACTTGCACAGATCAAGGTATCTTTCAGGAAAATGGTCTAAGAAACACTCCTGATTTTCAAAGGGGTGTCCCATCTTTGTTTCTGAGACCCCTACGTATCTCAGTGACCTTTTATCACAAAGACGGCTACCTTTAACTTTTTATAATACAATAGCAAAGTAACCTTTGCTGAGTTTCAGTTTCTTCTTTTTGCTAGAGCTCCTTTCTCTTATATCGTGATCTTAGTTGCAATTTCACTGACATTCTTTACACTTACAGGTCTCAAAGTCTTGTCTTCCAGCTCTGAATCTCAGTTTTTGTGGAAATTCTTAAGTTCAGCATGGTCTTAAACTTAACTTTAAGCTCCCAAGGTTGTCATTTCTCAATTATCTATGCTACATCCCAATCCTTACCTTCTGTGAACTTTTTTTTGTCTTAGGAACTATGCTGTACTTTTCTCCAGGGCAAAGGATTGTGCTTTGTGTTTGGGAAGCATATATTACTTAGCAAACACTATCATAAATAAATAATAAATGTGAATATTTTGGAGCCGTGTGGCTACCTTTACTTAGGGGAAAAAAGTGCCATGGGACTTGACTTCTGTTTTTGAATATCTAAATGTCATCTGAAAGACAGCAATCCTGTATAAATCCTGGAAATCGGAACTCAGATGCGAGCTGCGTAACTAAATTGCCAGCACCATTTCCTCCAACACTCGGAGCTTGGTTTAAAGGCAGGCTCCACTTGTTACTCTGAACTTTTCAGATCTGCAAAGATCAATCTCAGAAATAATTTGACTGTGAAATCATATGATTTTTCCTAGGCTTTTCTTAATTCCTGAAATCCAGGGTTCCATGACTGATTGAGAATAAAAGTTTAATTTCACCGACAACTAGACATCTCTATGCAACATAGCCTCTTGTACGTGTAGTATGTTCTATCCCAGCAGACTTTGTCTGTCGAGAACGATCACACCACTCATACCAATGAAATGTAATCAGCACCCAAGCAGAAGACAGCAGTTCAGCACGAGGCACAACATTGTATGACAACTTTGGACAGAAAATGAAGAACATGGCTATTCACAGTAGAACACCAACAGGAATCTGAAACACTGAACACAGGTACATAAATTACTCTGCCAAATATTTCACATCTAGGGATTAATGCTCCTCAGTCTATGAGCTGTAAAAAAACCAAACAGACCTTTCAGCAAAGCCTTTCGTGCACGCATCAGTCCAATATTAGGACAGTGTTGAGAAAATAACTACATTAAATTGAAACTCAAGGTAAAAAACTGTGCTTATGCAAGACATTGAGTCGTCCTTAAAACAGTTCACATTTTTAATGTCAACTACCATGTTAATGAAGCAACTAGAAACAGTCAGCCCTAGCTGTTCTGGTGCCTGGAATCTTTCTCCTTCCGTGGCCCTTCTTTAGAAAATACCAAACTGCCAAAATGGTATAGGTACAAGTGTTCAATGTGTTCTGCTATTCCTTATATGCTCAAAAAAACCCCACTTCTGCCGTTACACAGGCCAATTTTGCTTTTACAGCATTTGCTAAGTTTCTGAAGAAATACTGCTTGAAAAAGGGAAAGTCACTGGGTAGAAGTCTAAAGCACACCTCTCTTGCAAGCAATTGAAAACCAAAAACCAGCGTATGTTCCCTTTTGAAAGGGGAACCGTAGCAACACTACTGTGGATTTAATAGCCTGGAAGAATGCATCAGCGCTTTCTCAAAGGAGCAAAAAGAGCAAGGTTCCTTTGTCAGACTTGTGGAGGATACTGAAAGATAGCATCGGCAAAGGCTTACAAGTCACCTCAGGGCTCTATCCATCACACCGGGAAAACTCATCAGCCAAAACAAGAATGAAGATGGACAATTCCCTTGTCCCCACAAAACATTTTATTCCTGTGCCAAATAAGGGGAACAACTGGCTGGAGGCTTTCAGAGGGCTTAAAAAAAGGCTTCTTGTGAGCACATACTCAGAAATAATTTAGAATATGAAGCGTTTTATAAATCTTTTCCCTGTTTTGGGAGCAAGGAGCTTTCTTCCGCACATTGTGAAAGTTAAGAGCAATTTTCCTGAATCTTCAGCTTTTTGGTTTTGACATGTTGTCATCGACTGCTTTGATTGTAACAGTAGTTCCTTCAGGCTAATCTGGAATGAAAGGGTTACCTAATTAACCAGCAACGCTTAGGTCAGCTTTGTAGGGAACAGGTTTTAAAAAATAAAACATGAAGCATACAGATGGCCTGTCCCTGCCCCTATCAAGTAACAATTGGGAAAAAGGAGATAGATCAGGCTGTTGTTAGTGAACATCGAATTGAGAAAGATTTCATCATCGTAAAGAGTAAAATGAAGTATCCAAAATAGTAAAAATCCAAACTAATAAGAGACAGGTGACTTTACCAATGTACATCTTTTCATTATAATGTTCTGTTTTCCTTGGAACATCATCTTCCTTGCCTGACTGTGAAAGGAGCAAGGCTTTCCTGCCAACGGCTCTTTTGGATAAAGAACAGCACAACATTGGACTAGAGCATCCACCAGCTCAAATTAGTTGTCAGAGCAGGGGAAAAGATGATGAACAGACACACAAGGAAAGTAGACTGAACCTGGGAGTTTATCTGTTTGTCGAAGTTAACTTTTCTTGTAATTTCACCAATCAGTAAGCCTAGAATGAACTTCACTATGATTATGGTCTCCGTAGCAGGAGATAAGGAGTGCAAATGAGATTTAAAAATAGTTTTGTAACATTAATTTTTTTTTTATTAAGAAGACAGATACTTTATAGTACTTCTTTTTCTTTGTAAAAATGGTATACATGAACCAATACAAAATGTGAATGGGAACATATGAATATGTATTTTCTTACATTGTAACATCCTCCATGGACACCTTAAAACAGAACTGGCCTAAGGGGAAGGAAAAAAAAAAAAAGGCTGGGGGAACAAAGAACAAGATTGTTTAACATCAGTTACGCATCCTTCATTTGTAATATTCCTTTAAACAAGTTTGTTCTTTCTTCACACTTAAAAATCCTAATGATCTAGAGCTGTACAAAGTAATACTCAACAATACATTTCAAACAGTGCACTGTATACTGAAGAAAAAATACATAAACCAATATACAACTAAAACCCATAATTTCCTGTTTTTTTATTCTGTTTTTTTCCAATGTGCGGGGCCGAAATTTTGCAATCTACCTGAGACGGAAAACACCAATCAAAACACATGAACCTGAGACATGTCAACATTTTAAGTCAAAGTTACATCGGTAACACTGCACTACTGTACACTTTCAAAACAGAAAGATGGGCTGTTCAAAAACAGTATGCCAATTCTGTGATCAATGAGTAAAAAAGCCCCCTCCCTCCACCCCCCAAAACTCTTTTAACATGCTGAATGCTTTTCACCATGATGTGATTTGGCAATGGTGCTGAAGGTCAGAAAAGAGCTGCACTTGACAAAGTTTGCTCAGAAAAAAGTTCTTTGCAATTTTCCTCTTGTGTAAAGGGGAAGGGCGGAACACTGCTCAGGAACGGATTTGTTTTCTGTTTTCATGCCATCCCATTCCCAAAAGACTCCTGCATTGTAATGGTTCTGCCAAAACCAGTAATTAAACCACACAAAAATGCTCCCCTAAAACCCTAAAAAAAAAAAAAAATGCTGACACAGATTACTATGTTTCCCTTAAATAAGTCAGCAAACATTTTCCACATAGCCACAGTTAAAAAAAAAAAAAAGTATCTCTCAAAATCCAAGACTACTCAACAAAAAAACAAATTCAGAATATAATTTTAATACCATCTTCTCACTGTGATCTGCTATCTAGCACTTAGAATTCCAGTATACCTACATTCCTTTCACCTATGGCTTTATAAGTCAGTTAGCATTGTAATTTTAATGCAAATTCCCACATTTAATTTCTCAGATAAAAAAGGCAGTTTTATTTGTCCAGTTTCTTGCAAGGTTTTGGATCTAAAACATGCTCAAGGTAACTTATTTTTAGTCACTGTGTACTATGGCTGCCATCATGCAAGGATCAGTAATTTGTTGGCAGATGGCTCTTAAGGCTGAGGAAAGAGGCCAAGGCTAGAGCAGGAAAAGTAGAGATTAAAAAAAGCAACACTCAACATTTGAGTTTTGATTAAGTAACTGAAAAAGCCTACATGCTGTTTTTTCCACCTCTGCTCTGACCTTTGCAGAACTGAGATACAGGGCAGGCCAGCATGAAAACAATATTAGACCTACTTCACCCCCCTGCCGTTGTCAAATTCAAATCTGAAGGAATGAAAGTCTCACAACGCCTCTTATTGGTTCTCTCAGCACGACAGATATCTAACGTACAGTACTTGCAGGCCACATCCTACTGCCTTCCCCAGCAAAGCACAAAAGAAGCAAAAAAATATAAAAGCTGCTCATTTGCAGCTTTTTGCACCCCACGAGGACTTTCCTTTCTCTAGCAAATTAGGGAGAAGTAAGGCCAATTGGGAAAGCAGGACAGAACTGTTGGCAACAAAAATAATCAGAGCAGAACTACCTTCCCGCCCCCCCTTTGTCCCCCTTCCTGTGGCAAGTCAAATTTGTCCACCTGCATAAAAGGAAGAGCCCTCATCTGTCAGGTTTGCTTAGGTTACAGTAAGGAGGATTCCTGCATGCCCCAAACCTGTCCAGACAGCACGAGTTGCCCTAGATCGAGAGCAGTCTACAGACACAGAATTAAAGACAGATTCAATCACATAGTGACACGCCTCACTTGCAGACAACCCTGTGAAGTAATGTTTCTCTGCAGCTAAACAGTGCGTTTTCTGAGTTGCAGCCTATTTTCTAGTCTCCACCATCTAAAGCATTTGAAACATGGGCAGCCACAAACAGGTTCTCGTTGTTTGTTTATCCAAGCCTTTACGACAACAGAGAAGATGGAATATGGATACGCTGAATTGCAAACTATGAAATCTAAAATGTGCTGGTTCTCCTCTGACGAAATTGAGTTTTGAACAGAAAACAGTGAAGATCAACAAAAATCTTAAAGAAACCAACTTATTCCAAGGGGTCCCAGCAGGCAATTCCAGAAACAGAATACAAAAGGGGAAACAAAAAAAAAAAAAAAAGATAAAAACAAAAAGGAAAATGCATACAAGCCCCTCTTCTTCCCCATCTCCCCCCCCCCCAAAACCTCAAACAAACAAAAATAAAACAAGGCACAGAATTTTCTGCAAATGACTTCACTAAACTAAATCCAAGCTGGACTTGGCCAAAAAAAATGAAACCCGAACAAATTGAGGTGTCGAACAGCAGAGCGTACTTTACGAAGAATGTTTTTTACACAGCAAATCCCGGACCCTCCCAGTCTCACAACTCTCCACCCTTTTGTTTTTCTCTAAAAAAAGACACAAGCTGGTTGTAACTTCCAATATCACTGTCTCTTTATCGTTTAAATTGGGCCAGTAACTGTCCACGGTTGGACACCTCATTGAAACCAAGGCTGCTCTAGATGAAGTACTCTTTCTTTTCTTCAGAGTTGTTTTGTCCTCCTTCTGCATTGATGATAGCTGTGTCTGCGTCAGCTGCATCATCTGCTCCTTTGGCTTCATGAGTGAAGTACGTACCTGAAAATGAAGTGGTAAGGGTCTGTGACTCATTGAAGGTCTGGGTAAATTGCTAGAGAGTTAGCAGCAAAGTCACAAGCAGAAAGGGAAATAAACACTACTAGGAAAGAAGTGCTGAATCCAAGGCCATTGCAGCTGTTACTTAGGACTAAACAGCTGTGACACTAATCAATCGCTAAGACATCAGGGCAGAGATTTTCCAGTCTTGCCTGGGGCATTCAGATGCACAACTCCTGTTCGTTTCAATAAAAACTGGGCATTCAGCCTTCTTAAGCTATGAAAATTCCAGCCTAGAGCCTGAAAAATAGGGCCGAGGAAACCAAGCAAGCAAGGCTGATCCCATTAGATCTGGGAACGCCATTTCCAAGGCTGCTTGTGTTGACAACCTCCCATCAGCGATGTGTTTTGCACCAGCAGATGCAGCCCCAAGCAGCAGCAGCATTGGCCATTGTGTTCATCACAGGCAAACACTGTCTAGAGCATCCTCTAGGCAAGGTCATCGCTGGCAAGTCTCACAGGACGCAGGGCCTCAATGGTTATCCGTGGATTGGGCTTCCGTGCCCTTACTCTGAAATACTATGATGTAGCCTTTATAGTGTGTTAGTGCACAAAAGAAAATAGGCCACAGAGCTATTTTCCCTCCCAAAACAAGAAAGCAAATACCAGTAAATTGTTTTGGGCACTTTACTTAAAGGGGACGAACCTTTCCTCTACACTTTCCCCCCTAACATGCTTTAGTTTATTTCCCTTTCTCCTCGGCATTACTCTCTGTGCCATAACCAGCCTCCCATTTTTCTGTCAGATTTTCCAAACGTGCCAACTAAAGGCAGAGTAACATTAAATTTTTTTGTACAAGCAGTCACACACATACATATGCCCAGGCTGGAACAGTCTTATTATTGTGTGTGGGTTTTAACTTGTTCTGTAAGTTGAACAAGTTCCTGAAATGGGCCGTTGTGCAACGTAAACCACTAACCAAAACAACATTATGAGACTTCTGTATCAGCTCAGAACAAGTAGGTTTTGTAGCGGTGCAAAGTGCTGCAAATGCTGCAGAAATGCTGCAGGCAAGCTTCAGAAATTAGTTGAGTTTGTGTACCCCTGCACACCATTATACCCCGCAGTTGTCTGTAATACCTTGGACTATAGCAAAAGATACTACGGGTGGTGGAGTTCCCTGTGAAAAAGTCGGCGCATCTCACAACGTGAAATGTGCAGAAACCAGCTGAAGGACTGATGCTCAATATCATTTCAGAAATAGAATATACCTCATTTGTCAGGTATTCTATTGTACCCTGATGCTAGGACGGACTAGAAGGGATAGCGCCTCGCAACTGGTACGAACATCTAGAAGCGTACTGGAGCTATCGCTAGTAAAGTCTGGATCTTGGGCAAACCACTGTTCTTCATCTTTAAGTCCTAATGCCCAAGCCCCAGGTACACAGAAAATTCATCACCTACTATAGTTCTCCCTTTTTTTTTTTTTTTTTTTCCCCCTCCCCTCCCTTCATTTGAAAGGCCTTTCGGAAGACTTTCCAGAGCATCTAAAAGGTCTCTCATGTTAGATAGCACAACATCACAAGCAAGGCGAAACATGCCACGTTCTTTGATTTTCTAGTTTCAGTCTTTGTCTTACCTTTATGTCTTGCAAAATATCGCCCTAAAATGATGAGCAGGCAAAGCATTGCAAATACGACCACGGCCACAACACCACCAACCACTGCATGGTCCACGGTCCTTATTGACCCTTCCTCACCTGCACGAGAATCTGTTGAGATTAGAAGAGGAATAAGAATTTGGAACTTACTAGGATGTCATTTGAAGGTTTTGGCTGCAGCTGCCCTCAGGATTGGAGAAGCCACCCTTTTGCTTTCAAAAGGAAAAGGGATAAAGCACTGAGCTATCTAGACAGATGAGTTCAAGCAAAGGAGCAGGCACGCCTGTCCAATGCTGAACTATCTGGCTAATTAGCTTGCAAGGTATTTTCTGCTATAAGCAGCAGCAGGACTACTATGCTTGTAGAACAAACTAGAATAGGGAA